CTTAATCACTCAATATAATATTCCACCTACCCATCTTTTTCCATCAATCATAATATTATGAAATACCTGTTATATCGCCCGGGGGTATCTGCGTACTAAACAGTTCGAACTCTCGATTTTTTTAATTTAGTCTTATAAGTGCAATGTGAAACATAGATGAGAGTCTAAATTTGAAAACTTTTATAAAAAATCTATTTCATTGCAAAACATTTGCTAGAAATGGACTACGTCATTAGATTTTAGAGTCGCCACCTAATATTTTAAAAAAATTAGAAAATCCGTGACTCGTGCCAAAGTCATTGTTTGTCATAACCGGAGATGTCTTAGTTCGGAATCTTTGGTATGAGGGGGGAAGGTTATTAATTGAGTACCCCCGCTCATCTGATGAAAAGATTGATCTTTACTAAACCATGATATGAATTTTATTGACTTTATATGCTCATATTCTGATTATTTAATAAATCTTAAATTTTACTATATGAAGCAAAACAAATATAGACCTTATCATTCATTTTGAACGCTTGATTCCATGTATTTTTAAAAGAGTTTTGAAGATGTGCAACTCAAAAGAAATTGAGCTCACAAGCATGAAATCGCTATTATTCTAAATTAAATGGCACAACCTCCATCCATTGACATTCATAGAGATATATCACATAAGCAAGAAGCCATATGGTAAAATACTTAACATAATAAGAAAAACACACACAAACGGAATATTAAAGTATAAAATTTCACAAATTTACTGACATCCTACAAACAACTGCAAAACAAAGTTAGGAAATATGCATGATCTTATATATAAAAATCTTAATGCAATACATACACAAAATGCAATTAAAGATTTGGCTACTAAAACATGACACGTGAATTTTGGAGTAGCGCACAAAATTACATAAGAATTTATTAAACCCACATATGCAAATGAGTCGAATCTAAATGCATGAAAGATAAATGCAAAGTATGGATATTATGATGAAAAAAAATATGATGCTATTTATAAAATATGGAAACTAAGTAAATAAAAGGGATAAAAAGAAGAAAAATGCATGGTAGCTCGAATTTGTGTGGCCCGAATGGCTCGAATGTTTCAAAACATCGGGGCATGAAAATTCGGGCTACCATGCATTGTCGTAGAAAGAAATAGGGTTGAAGACATATATAGAAAGGGGTAGGAAGAAGCGAGGGTTGATAATTATTACAATACTGAATAATTATAAAAGCAAATAAAAAGACCTGGGATTAGAAGATTATTACAACACGAACCGAATCTAACAAATCATATGAATAAAGATAAAAAAATATTAGGAAAATTATGAAAACAATCCCTATACTTTACACGATGTGTTAATTTGGTCATTGTAATTTCAATTTGCTCAATTTTACCCTTTAATTTAACGAATTGTGTCATTTTAGTCGAATAAATAACGGTTGTTAAGTTATTTTAACGGAAAGTCAAACAATGTATCAATTTGGTTTTTGTATTTTTCCCAATGTGTCAATTTAGTCCACGTAAAAATCGAGAAAATTGAAACTACAGAGACCAAATTGACACATCGTGTAAAGTACAAGAACCAAATTGATACATTATTTGACCTTCCGTTAAATTAATTTAACAGCCATTATTTATTGAACTAAAATGACACAATCTGTTAAATTAAGGGGCAAAATCGAGCAAGTTAAAACTACATGGACCAAATTGACACATCGTGTAAAGTACAAGGACTATTTGCATAATTTACCTAAAAATATTTTTTTTAAAAGCTACTATTCATTCGTCTGCGGTTACTATTCATCACTAGAGGTACTATTCATCGTCGGGTTACTATTTACCACCGGATATTACTATCCACAACCACAGGTTACTATTCACCGCTGGTCACTATTTACCCGGCGGGGTCAAATTTTTAACAAATTAGGTGATTTTGACCAACCATTTAAAATAGTAAATTATAACAGTTTATTTAAAGTAATAAATTACAACATTTTATGTACAATAGTAAATTACCACAAATATGTAGGTGGTATAGCTTTCCCTTTAAAATGGTAAAACAATTATATAAAAAAAAATAGTAAATTACAACAAATGTATGAGTGGTATAGTCTTTCCTTTAAAGTGATAAAAATAATTATGAAAAACTATAAATGAATTGTATAAACAAGTAGTATCATATTTTACAAGTAAGTGAACGTTTGTGAAAATTCACATGTCGAAAAAATGATGAATTTTCTAATTTACAAACTTTTTTCTAACCTTCCCCAATTTCTCTCTTTTTTTTTCCTCAGTTCCCCTGTTCCTTTTATTGTTTTTTTTTGGGGGGGGGGAACCAGTGGAGGCAAAATTTTCAAATGATTCTTGTGCACTTAATAAATAATTAACGGTTGGCACATGCGATACATGTGCAATTCAAATAAATAATAATAAAATAAAATATTTATTATATATAGTGTGTTAGTCAAGTGATAAAAGTCTTCTTCATTTGACATAACTTTGAAGGTTCAAGTCTCTTCCTGTTATCTATCCAAATTTGTTTTTTCTTTTTTAAATAAAAAAGTGGACACATGGTAGCATAAGAAATCAAGGCTTCGGAATACATAAGAAGTGTTCACTTTGTATATAGTATAGATAGATAATATATAAAAGGTATTATTTTTTCTTTTTTAAATAAAAAAGTGGACACATGGTAGCATAAGAAATCAAGGCTTCGGAATATATAAGAGGTGTTCACTTTGTATATAGTATAGATAGATAATATATAAAAGGTATTATTTGTATAAATATATGTACAAATATATAAAAAAAATATAAAAATACACAAAAACATGTAAAATTAAAAAATAACAAAATAAATAGACTAATAAAATATATTTTAGTGAATCAAATATCTAAAATCTAGGCTAAATTAAAACTTAAATTTTATCTTCTACTGAATTTTTTTTGAGATAACATTTTTTTTTTCATTATTGAATAATTAAAATAAAACGTCCAAATCTTAAAACTTATCAAAATGAGATAACTACACTACCACGTGTTTATACTATAAAATTATAATCGTAACACACCATTGTGGTATCATTATAAGAAATTTTTTAGGGTCTCAGACATATTTTTTCTTTAATAAAAAAGGGGTCTTTGTGCTTGTACATCGTCGTCGGCTGAAAACCTTTTTTTTTTTTTTTCCTTTACCTCACATTCTGTGACGAAGAAGAAAACCAAATGTAAAGGCAGTGAAGGAAGGGAGCTTCTATTTACCCACACCAAATCCATTCTATACACACACTTAATGAAGAGGATGTGCAAAAAATGTAATGAGGAAGATGTGCAAAAGTGTATATTGTGTGTGCAAATAGAAGCTCCCGTGAAGGCACCACAACAACTTTCCCTGCTTTCGGAAGTAAAGGACAAAAAAACCCATGTAACGCACACCACACCACCCCAACCGCCTATCCAAGTGCATATATTTTTCAGCTTACGATGAATGCATAAGTTTATTTGTTTTAGCGACAAAAATTAATTCTTAATTATTAGATTAAGATATATAAACGTTAATTTATTCACTCTTAACTCCGGTTCAAAACTAATGGACCTCACCATGGATGCATAAGTTGATTATCAGAGCTGAAAAGATTGTTTGGTCAAAAAAAAATCTACATTATAAAAAATTAAAGTTTTAGAAACTAAAATTTATGGATAAAATTATTTTTTAAGGACCAAATATTTTTGTTGCGAAAAGTGTCTTTATTATATTTTTACTAACGAAAATTAGACATTAGTGATAAATTATTTTCTTTTTAGAACTAAATTTTTTGTCACAAAAAATAAATTATTTTGAGATCAAATTATTTTGTTCCTAAAAATCTATTTATTAGTGCCATTTTCAAAATTGTCCCTAAAAGTCTTGTTTTTGACTTTTCGAAACGACCTTTTAGCGACTATCCTCATGAAGATAGAAATTGGTTCCTAAATGTCTTTTGTTACAAAATTTTCACTTTTAGAAACCAAAACATTTAGGCCTTGTTTGGTTTGGCTTTGGAAAAAAGATTTTGGAGAAATTTTTTGGAAATTTTGTTTGGTTTATAATTTTTCTCAAAAAATTTCCAAAATCATTTTGTCTCTCCTACACATCAATCAATCATTTTTTCTCTCTCCTCTTTCAATTTCAATCACTTTTTCTCTCATATACATCAACTCAATTACAACAAAATATCAAATCATTCCAAATTCCAAAACTATTTTCAAAATATACAACCAAACAAACTACAAAAATTTCTAAACTCTCTTTTCAAAATATTTTTTCAAAACTTATCTCCCAAAATTAAACCAAACAAAACCTTAGCCTCTAAAATTCTTTTATATTGTAGTGCTACCAAAGTGGAATACATTGCACTTGTTATAGACATAGACATTGTGGTGCTACCAAAGTGGAATACATTGCATTTGTTATAGACATAGGCAATTCATTTTTGATGCCTTAATTCTTTCTTCTTCTTTTTTATTTTTATTTTTATTATTTATTTAAGTAAAGTGTTAGTACTTGGAAGAAAAACGTTGTTTGGTTTCATAAAACAAGATTTACTTTTTATGAATTTTTTTTTTTTTGGTGTTTTTTCGAAAATTTTTAAATATTTTAAATAATTTTTTTTTTTTAATTTTTAGATACACTAAACATAAATACATTTAAAAGTATAATATTTATAAAAAAAAATCTTTAAAAAATTCACTAAATATAAAAAATATAAAAATATATAAAAATTCAATATATTTTTTGTATTCTTGTGTATTTATTAATTTTTTATATATTTTTTACAAATATTTTATTTTGTAAATGCATCTAAGTAAGGTGCATCAAAAAAAAAATTGCTTAAAATTTTAAAAATATTCACTAAAAACAAAAAAAAAATGCTAAAAATAAAAAACTCAATTTTTAAAAAATTAAATTGAGAAAATTAAAACTACATACAGTAAATAAGATTAGAGGAATGGAGAGAGAGAGAGGGGGGAGTAAAAAGGACCTCTATGATTTCTTTGTAGATATTTGATATTAAGTTATTATCATTAACCAGAAACAGGCAGGCAATCCGAGTGATGTGTGCTTTCTTTGATCTACCTTGAGAGATTTTTACAGATTTATTAATTAAAACAAAAAAGGGAGAAGCATTAGTTGATTACAAACAAACTAGAGTCTCTTCTTGTCTCTGTCATTAGTTTTTTATTATAATATATTAAATATCAACTTTGCATACCGGAGATGTAACCAGAGGGACTTGACCCACAAAGCCCTTGCCCAAACGCAGCAACACATCACACTTAACATATACTCCGTAATGCCCCGTGGTTATTGCCCCAGCCTTCCACCTCAGCTTCCCCAACAAAACCAGCCTCAACCCAACCACCCCGTTGGCTTCATCCATCCCCAGCCCATAAGACACCTCCGGCGACACCGGCACCACCGCATCACGTCCACCCAGTATTGGGGCCAGCTGCACCGTGCTGTGTTTCTCTTGATAGAGAGGCGGCAGGGTCACCGGGGGCGTGATCATCTGGTTATGGTAGGTTACAAAAGCCGAGAGATGGTCATAGAAAATGGAGACTCGCTTGTTTGGGTTTCTGGTAACGATGCTGAACTGCATGGTGGTGGATAAGAAGGGAGGGGATGTGTTGTTGAGGTTGAAGACGCCGACCCCCACCACGGTGAAGGTGGGATTCTGGGGACGGTAGACTAACCAGACTGTGAGAACTGTGATGCCGGCTAATACAAGGAAGATGAATATACACCCACACATGGCTCGCCCAAGATCTCTGCGCTGCGTGGGATCCTTTGTCATTTTACCGTGTGGTGGAACTCCTCCTCCTGCTTTCGTTTCTTCTGCTATGGAAGAAGATAGATTTTTGAGAATATCTGTATATCTATATCTATGTCTATATCTATATTTGATTGAGAGAGAGAGAGAGAGAGGGGAAGGGTGGTCGTGGAGAGTGGAGAGTGAATAAAAGAAAAAAATATTTTAAAACTCTAAAAGAAAAGTTCTAAATTAACATTAATTTATTCTTTTTTTTTTTCTTTTTTTTTTTTAAAGTGCATTATCGGCTCACTAGAGCTACTTTTAGAACAGGTCTATTAAGGCTCTCTATCGGCTCTGATAAAAGAAAAAGCTGAAGAATCTATGGGACACATGGAAGGAAAGAGGGAGAAAAAAAGGAAGCCAAAATTAGGTCTCTTTCCACCCCCACACCCATAAAACTTGTTTTCTTCTAATTTATTTGGATCAATTAATGGGTGTTATCTTTTTCTTTCTTTTCTTTTCTTTTATTCTTCCACGCATTATCCTTTCCTGTGCTTTTCTTCTTCAACTTTTTGTTGGCAATTTTAAACTTTTTTTTGGATTGCTCTTTTTCTTGCTCAAAAAACACATCACCTGTTGTGAAATATTTGAATAATTATTAAAAGATATGTAATTAAAATTTTAATAAGTTTTGGGTCAAAGTGAAAATAGAAGAAAGTTTTACCATATATAAAGTGTGGTATGTCATGTAGTAAACCACATGGTGTAATGAATAATGGTGTATATGAAAGTTTTTATAGCAATCCCGATTTTCTCTGTTGTTGTTGAATTATAATCCGGACTTGGTTCCGTAGATCTGTTGTTGTCTTATCCTCATTTCTATCCCTTACTCTTTGTTTTAGTGTTTTGGGTTGTGCTGGGCGTGTTTCGAACAGGTTGGTTGAGCCTTAATCCCATTCCTTGTCGCGCAGATTTTTGGTGGTACGCTCGAGCAGGGTTTTCACAGTTCCAGTATTTCGTGCCTCTGCAAAACTTCTGCAGGTGTGTTTTTCACGCTCGAGCGGGTTTCCTTACGTTTGAGCGGGTCGCGCTCGAGTGGGTCTGTTGGCGCTCGAGCGGGGTGAGCATTGTCGGTGAAGATACTGAGAGAGGAGAATCTACGCTCGAGCGGACTGGTTTTCCCGTTCGAGCGGGTGTGTTTTGTTCTTGTGTCTTGGAGCTCGAGCGGGCCTTCTTGCACTCGAGCGGGTCCAGTTTTTGTACTTGACGCTCGAGCGTCCTCTTATCCGCTCAAGCGGGAGAGTCGTATATCAGTTGGCAGCTAGACTATTTTAGATCACTTTTTACATCCTCTCTCTCTCTCTCTTACTTTTCTAAAACTCCATTGGAAAGCCTCTCTCACTAGAAACCCACATTCTCTCTAGGGATTGATCTAGTTAGAGTATTCCCCTACCCTTTGGCCTTTACAAAAAGTGTGTTGATCATTGAGGACTACATTTTGATCCGAGAAATTTGGTATTTAGAGCACTTCTGAGTTTAGCTCTTCTTCTCCTTGGGTTCTACATTTGAGGTAGGGATTTCCTTGTTCTTTTTCAATACTCCGTCTATAGATTGACATGTGGTAGTTTTGTATTGCATGAAAATCATATCCACGTTGGATTTGTTTGAAATCATGAGAAGGAACCTAGGGTTGGTTGTGTGAAAATAGTTATTTTATCATTGATGGTTGTTTTGGGCTAATTGGAGTGTAAATTAGCATGTTGTAGTTGAAAGAAGAAAAAACCCCAAATTATATTTTGATTTGGTAAATTAAAATGGTGGGTAGTTAACCTATATTGTAAATCCCTGTTGTTAATGTGAGTTGGGTGAAGGTGTTAATGCCTAAGGGGTTAACTTTGGCTTTGGAATGGTTTTGGAAATGAATGTAGTGGACTAATGTGAGTTATGGCTTTATTATCAATGGAATTGGTTTTGTAAAACAAAAGGGATGGAGTTGGTTTTGGTGAAAACAAAAGGAAATGGAATTTGTTTTATGAAATGAGAAAAGTATCTTTGATATAAGTATAAAAATTGGATTGTTGTTTCTTGAGTGTTAAATACACACACGTGGGGGGTTGTATCTTTAACTACCGTGTTAGAGTTATTGTTGGGTTTGTGGTCTCATAGTAATTGAGTCTCTAATAGATGTACTAATACTTGCATCTAGAGGTTTTGTCCTTGGTCATCTGTGGAGGATAACATGGTTGTGTTGAATTGTCATGTATGCATTATACCATTGTTGATTGAACATCGTATGTGATGAAGTGTTGAGATATATTATATATGTATACTTGCTCAGGAGGAGGTAGTTATGTGTTCATATACTTTAACACATTGCTTGTATCTTGATGGTTTATGTATATGTATTATACATGTTGGTTATGTCCTGTTATGTTTTGGTTAGTGGTGTTATACCTTGCGCTAAGAATCAGAGGTACCGTGACCTTCCAGCTAGTGCCTGGAGAACTGACTGCGCTGAGAATCTAAGGCGCCATACCCTTCCAGCTAGCGCCTGGTAAACTGGCATGTTGTTGTGAGAGGTGTATCTTGGGCTTACTACACATATAGCTAGTAGAGAAAAGTTTTGTTGTTGATGTTTCAATGTGTCTGGGAATATCATGGATTGTATTGGTTACGGTTTTGGAGGGCCGAGTTGCCTCATTGGTTTATCTTATGCATGTTGGTGAGTTGTTATCTCCCTTTTTATAACGGTGCATGTATAGATTTGATTGTATCGAGAAGAAGCCAAAATGTCATTTTTTTTGTCTTTTGGAAAGTATGAAGGAGAACGGATATTTTAAAGAGATATATGTTTTGAAAAGGCATATCTGTGTATGTTTGGAAAATGGAAGTGAGTAGTGGGCTTAGTGAATTTATTTCCTAAGGTATTGTTAATGTTATGAAAGATTAGGAACGGGGGTTAATGAAAAGAAAAGAAAATTGAATCGTCTATGGCATTGATTGAAATGGTTATTTTCAAGAAAAGTTCATACTTATGTATATTTTGTATAAACTGTCACATTACTATTCTAGTATGAGATTGGGTATTCATGATCATAGCTATCTGTAAGTTGTTATTGTTGAGGGCCATGTAGAGATCCCTACTGGACTATATGTTCATCCCACGTTGTTGAATCTTTTTTAGGTGATGAGCAGAATGTGCTGCAAGATTTGGATCTTCTTATTTGTTGGCCACGGGGCCTCTCTTGTATTGGCGGAATGCCATATGTGTAAAAAGGTTGCACCCTTCTTCTTGATTCGTTAATGATGTAAGCCCAATGGCAATTTATTTATTACACTCATGTTGTTTTTACTTGCATACGAATGAGAGCAATGTTATTCACTTCTACGAGTTGAATATACGAGTTTATTTCCGCATGTTATCTCTGAAATGGAATTAAGTAAATGAAATTGGTAATACTTCGAGTAATAAAAAGTGGGGCATGACAGTTTTATCACTTATAAATAGGTGAGTTTGCATGGTAATGAAGACATAGAAATTTTGTGTATTACATGTGTAATTTTTTATTTCTTATTCCATTGTGACTATTCCTTCTTTATTTTCTTTAATTTTATAATACATTATCAGCACGAGATTATAGCCAGTTGAGAAGATTTGACATGATTACTAAATTTAACAAAAAATAATATATTTAGTATTATATAAACATATTAAGGAAATATAAAATTAGCTTTAGAATTTATTTATCTTGGATTCTTGATGTTGAGATCCACCTTGAGGCAATGAATCTTAGAGATATCATAAAACATGAAAATAAAGCATTCATGTAGGATCGCTCAAAGGCAATGATATTCATTCGCCATCATCTCCAAGAAGAATTAAAAAATGAGTACCTCATGGTAAAAGATCCACTAATTTTGTGGAATAGTTTGAAGGAGAGATACGAGAACTAGAAGACCGTAATCCTTCTAAGAGCGTGGTATAATTGGTTACACCTGAAGTTGCAAGATTATAAATCAATTGGTGAATACAATTCTGCTTTATTTAAAACATCCGTCAGACAAGAGGCATAGCAGATCCTGACATTCCACATCCTCCTTCTCCCGGCATGAGGGTAGTCGATAATCTCCATGACGGACCCCAAGTTGACTTCCTTATGTTGGGAGAGAACGGTGACACCACGAGCCTGACAACTTCATCACATTCTTATGGACCTAGGTGATGGCTTTGCTTACCAGGGGTGTGGCCTGCGCAGTTCCTGAGGCTGCCGCTGCTGCTGTTGGAGGTGCCCTTGTTACCGGAGGTACTCCTGCTACAGCTCCTATTCCTAGGCTTCTTGCGATTCCTACCGAGGTTGTGTATATACAACCGGATGGAATGATTGAGCAGATCCCTCTTGAGCATATCGAAGAGAAGGATCGCAGACTGGTGATTGCTCCCAACATTGAGCAGGTACGCACTTCTTTACACTTCTGTCCGCTATGCTTCTCATTTCTTCCCACTGTACTCTGTACTTTATCACTATGTTTCACTGTACTCAACTATTTTGCAGGTGCCCACAGCGTATGCTGATGATCTCCTCCAGACGATTGATCGACTACTCCTTATGGTATGGAGGAGACAGATTGCTTTGGCCACTCACGAGATTGAGGTATTCTTTATCACTAGTTCACTGTTGTTTCCATGCTGTCTATATTTCTGTTAGTCCATACTGATACCTGTACTATTTTCAGCTCTAGCCAGCACCAGCAACATCCGCAGGACCTCCTCTAGCTGAGAGGAGAGGGAGACGAGGCCAAGTGAGAGGTCGATGTTGGGTTGATCGGGAGAGAGGCCGAGCGAGGCAGTGCTCACCTTCTAAGGAGTCTTTTGATGGGTCTACGACCCCCGAGGACAAGGGAGAGGAAGCTAACTTGCAGTCCAACAGCTCCAGCAACGACAGTGATGTACCTCATCAGCAACCAAGGAGGAAGAGGGCCAGGATGGGTTGATGATTCACTTTCTTTTCTTTTCTTTTCTTTTCTTTTGCTTTGTAGTTCGGAACTATGTAGCTTCAGATAGACCTATGTATTTTTATTTTTTTTTTGAAGACTTTTCTTTTGGGGTGTGAACCCTCTAGTTATGAAAAGAATATTTTGCACGAGTCCTCTTGCTTGATGTGACATGTAATGAATGAATGGTGTTGGCACGA